ATTTTCTAAGAGCACAAGAAAATTTCTACAATTTTGGCTCATGAGCTTGAGTATAGACTCAAACCTGGGGCTAACAAGACATCCTGATCTTACTTAACAGATGCTTAAACAAACACACTGAAATAGCTTCTCCAATCTAGAATTCCAGGCAGGTGTCTTGGCAGTCTTTGATCAGCAACAATTAAACTTAAGCCTTGGAACTGCCAAGAACATAGACATCACAGTCTTAGTTATCTAGTGTAGTTATAACAGAAACCACAAGTACAAAGCTTTAAGAAACAGAAATTTACTCTCTCAGACTTAGGCTAGAAGTCCAAATTCAGAGTACCAAGTCTAGGAAAAGGTCCTTGTCACCTTCCAGCATTCCTTGGCATTCTCTATGAGTCTTTCCTGATCTAGAGGCTTCATGGTGCAGGGATCCCAGGACCAAACGACATACTCGGCTCTTCTTTCTTGGTGGTAGTAGCTCCCTTTCTCTATGTTCACTTCTCTCTTTTAATATCTCAAAAGAGATTGACTCAAAATAAACCTGAACCTGTAGATTTCATCTGGTCTCAATAACACCATGGTGGTGGTGGTGTGCCATGGAGTTGGTTCTAACTCATAGCAACCCTGAATAGGAAATCCCAGGCTGTAAATCCTTACGGGAGCAGAAAGCCTCATCTTTCTCCTTCAGCACAGCTGGTAGTTTTGAACTGCTGGCCTTGAGGTTAGCGGCCCTACTCATAACCACCATGCTGCCAGAACTCCTTCATTAACACCACAGAAGTGCAGATTTCCAATACACAGGATAATTACAGCTGGTCACATCAGATGACATCATAGGATTACATCAATTAGATCTCATGATGGAGGTGATAATTACATCTTAACTGCTAAACCTCTGAGAATCCCAGGCCAGCCAAGTTGACAGAAAACCTTAAACATCACAATCATCTTTCTGTTTCTTAGTAAATATTTTCCTCTCTCTCTACCAGCCTCTTGTTTTTGGAACTGAGAGGGACAGATCAGCTTCAACCTTACTTGTCAAAGGCTTACTCCATTTCATGAATTCACAACACCCTCAAGAAACAGACTGCCAGGTCTGGGGTGGTTCTTTGGGGGGTTGGTAGGGTCACTCCTGCAACTAAAGGCACAATCACTCCACCAATGCCTCTCAGATATTAGTACCACTGTCTGCATTTCGGGCCCCTGAAAGGGTGGTGGGAGTTTGAGGTGTAGTGGTATGGGGCTATGTAGTTGCTAAGTGCTGTCGAGTGATTCCAACTCATAGTGAGCCTGTAGAGGGTTTCTGAGGAGCAGCCGGTAGTTTTGAACTGCTAACATTTCAATTAGCAGTACAGCGCTTATCCTTTAATGCCACACCAAGTCTATAAGGCTGCATAATTTCAGTCTATGTGGTGTTCCCCAAATGTGTGTGTCCTCTTCGGAATTATTCTTTGAATGTTAACCAT